TTTGCCGCGTAAAAAACCGAGAAATGCAATTTACGCTATAAACGAAAGAGTAATTTGTCAAGGTTGCAGTTACTCTTGGAGTAAGCGGGTTGAGATCCGCTACATTCGTACTGGTTCTAAGTATAAACGAAGGTCACTGATCTAAACCAAACTTCCTTCAAGCGAAAAAGCTCACACATCCCCAATACATTTCTAATCCAGAACATACCAACGTCAGTTCACGCACCCCCACCACAAATGGTGGTGACACCGTCGGTAAACACGGAGCGTTCCGTGAAAATCAAGGTGGAAAGCTTTCACGGAAACGAATTTAATAATCTTGCGTTTTGGCAGCGAGAAATGGTCATGGCCCTCGTCAACTCTTGCTATGTGGCAAAATAGCCAGGCCGTTTGACCTCCTTTGTCATCGCCAAATCCCTCGCATGGGTTCAGTGCAACATGGCAAAGGCCACTTGACTACGGTCATCATGAATTTGAGCCATTGCGACGGTCGAAGGTTTTGCCATGCCGTCAACTCAACAGTGCATTGTACGACTATATACAGAAGCTCTGTTAGCTTCGTGCCCCAAAAATTCACGTGATCAATCGGTCAATCCGATGGAAGCAGTGATTGCTACTACTGAAAAATCAGAACCAATTGATTTCGGCGCGATGACTATCCGTAGGCAGCAAAATCGTCGTTATGGATGTCAACAATGTAGTCACTCCCGTCGTAGTTGTTCCGAGCCATATGGTACCGATATCACGAGGCATTCGGGAAACACCGGTACCCAGTAGACGCAAGGCGGTCTACTGGATTTACGAGAATGAGATGACGGTTCTTGCTCCCCCTCAAGACGGAAGAATGCTGTCGACATGTGTGTACTGGAGAGTCGAAGCAATAGACTGTTGTATAGCCAATACCCCGACTGATACAGTAATTGAGTAGGATTTTGTATAAATGACCAAAAAGATGATGCACCCACCTGTTTTGTGGTTGAGCACACATATGTAGAGGAATCAACAGAATTTTTGATCGGAATGCGATTGTCCGTGGGTGGGTTAGTCCAGCGTATGATGAAAATGTAGCGTGCGAATATGCTGACTCACGTATCCTGGATGCACCGACTAGTTGTGAAGTAACCAGAACAGATATTATTTTGGCACCGTTATCAACGATGGAAGATCTGGTGCAGCTTGAGAAAGTCATTTACGATGGATTCCTACCTGACCTCAAGTGAAATTTTGATGAGTTTCACTCTGCTGTCTTTTTTCGTGAATAGATGTTACAGAAGCTGAAAACAAAGTGATTTCTCTCTAACCAACGTGTGGGCAAAGCAGGGCAATAAAAATACCTTTGTGCAAAGAAGAGCTAGGAATGAATCATGAGTTTTTTTCGAGATAGCCATCTTGCTTTAGTCGAAGATCGATTCAGCGGAACTACGCTCATATCAGTTTTGGATGATTCGGCTCTCGAATAATTTTGAAAGCGTGTGGACCACGCAGAGAATCTGCTATTTCGAACGGTTTAACTGATTCTTATCATTCACTTTGTTTTGGAATACAAGGATGACGTCCTTAGTGCAAACTCGCCCTCTGACATTCGACCCGAACGGGAAATCGACACGAAATTGATCGTGAACCTGGTTCAAAGCATGTTTTGCTTTGCCAAAGTCCACTGTCGCTTGGGCTAAGTAAGTATATCGATAAGCTTTTTAACTAAGAGCAAGCAGCTGGTTTGGTTAGGGAGAGTAAGTCCCCTGACTGCACGCCGACGTTTTGTGTGCGTGCACCCAGCGAGAAATGGCGTAACGCTCACGTCTAAAACAAGACAATTGCGCTGGCGATTCCCTCTCAAACACCGATTCCGCGTAAAGATGTCATCATATACCGTATGTTCGACTGTACACAGTTTAGTGTACTTGATATAGTTGATCGATATCACCAGTGAGGAGGACATCTCTTTGACGGCTGTTAGTGCACCATCCGGCATATCCCGGGAGTGGCTTGTCTATCCAATGCCCCGGTAGCGTTCAGTCGATAGGATTTCCATCTGTTTCAGCCACTGCGAAGCTTTATGCAGACATATTTTGCAATATTTTTGTCATTCGAAGGGCGAAAATGGCAAATCTGCCAAAGAAATGCACTTGGAGCAACTATATCAAGTGGTAGAATGTATGCGTGAACATTAATTGCAATAGGGAATTTTGCAAAGTGAAAATTCAGTGCTAACGAAGTACTGGGCCTCGGTTGTTATGTTGGTAACCGCGTTGCTCGTACAGACCCTGAATAGGTCAAATCAATCGTGGATTGGCCAATCGCGCCGAGATAATACATTTGTGAAAATGGATTAGTTTGTCCAATTACCTGCGTCGCTTCTTGCGTTACTAAGCGGTAATGGTATACCCACTATCGGACTTGATAAAAAAGGACTTATTCTGATACTAGTCATTCACTTGTGACGAAGCGCTCACTCAAATCACGAACGGTTTGATGAAGCACCATCACTTGCTTTACAAGCCGTATAGCGTCGTGTGTGTCGTCTATATTTGCAATCGGAAGCGCACTATTACAAGCGAACTTAGAAGGGCACGATCGTATCGTTTTTATTCACAACAGCTAAAGACAACAATAAAGAACTATACTGCCCATGACAAGGATCTTTTGGCAATGAAGTATATTCTGGTAAGGTTTCGTGTTCGCCTCTTAGGTTCAACTCCGTTTGTCATCTACGCAGATCACACAATCTTGCGATATGCAGTTCAGTCTCCTCACTCATCTTAGCGGACAGCTTGCTGGCTGTCAATATTCGCAGAATGCAACTTCGAGGTCACGTACCGGCCAGGAATTGAACGTGCTGGCTAAAGCATTGCCACGTCGTCCTGATTAAGAGTTTGCCATTTTAGCTATATCAAAATCGATGTATTCGATAGGATATGTCGAGCCTGTGTTGAGTTAGAACAGTGTGATCCGATCATTAAGTCACTCACATCGAGTGATATGGAACTCCATGACAAGCTTCTTGGTCGTTTCGCATCGCAGAATGGTCTCCTTTACTATGAAGTTGCACATACGACGAGCCACAGACTGTTGCTCCCCACAACGATAATTTCAAGTGCAAGATCGTGTACGAGGCATATGATACGCTGATGGCCGGTCACTGTGGCCTTGAGAAAACCTACCAGCCTCTTAGGGCTCAATTACAGAGGCCCACCCCATGTACAAGTGGGTAGACTTGCAAATTTGTCTTGCCCCGCGCAAGCGTGCTAGAAAAAGTCATCACACCCGACTACGTACAAGTGCAGTTTGTTTGTCGTCCTTCTTCTCTGTCTTTTGCTTTGGTCGCCTCGAGCTCATTCATTGCACCTTCTTTCGAAGACGTTTTACGACCTCGTCTCACGACAGCTTTAACTTCGCGGTTACTACTGCCACCGACCTACCCCGTGTCGCCGTCCCGTCTACTCGACCGTAGAGTACCGCGCCTTTCAACAGACTTTCACTTTCGTTTCTGATATCTTGTGCGGAGCGCATTTACGTAAGAGCCACCTTTCAAGGGGTGTACGAGTGTAAAGTTCGTGGCTAACGAATGCAGTTGCAACACACCGTGTATTTAGGTACAATTTCCGTTGCGTAACTTACGGTTAAAACTCTCGTGACTTTGCGTGAATCAGCCCTCAAATTTTACGTTTGCGCTTTACCTGCAGTTAGTCATCCGCGTATTCTTAACCGAGCTTGGCGTTTGTCTAGGTGTTAGTCAGAGTAGATCCCTCTATTCAGCCAAGGTAACCCAATACTGTTGTGCTCTCTCCTCACTGGTTGCATTGATTCTGTCTTTGCCTTTTGGTCCTATGAAAGATGATGTGAGTAATTTTTACTTCCACCACAGTCGATCTGCCTAGCTGCAGCTTTTCTTGATTTTGACAACTAGGTCACGCAATTTTCTTTACAATAGCATTTGCCTCCACCGAGTCGCCGCCACAACTACCGTCACGCCCATCGCCAAGCTCGGCTATGCCAACCCGTCCAGCTCAGCTAGATGTACGGCAACGCCGATCGCAGCAGACGGGATATCATCACCCAGCTGCTAGGCTACCTGCGCCACGCTGGATGTCTGACGACTCTTAATTAAACGAGCCTTGAACTTTTTTCGGACGAAAGTTCGAAAAATCAAGATCGTCCATCTGCTGCGTTTGTTGCGGACCCTACGCCAGTGGCTGTGAAAAATTGTACGTACATGTGGATTCCGGCTGCTTCTCTCATCACTGAGTATAGGCAAAACGCAATCCTAAGCTCTCTTGCTTCTGTAAGTCAACCTGCAGTATGGCGAGAGTGTCCCGTTCACCTCCGTGACTCTTGAGCGTTCACGCATCGAGACATCTCGTTCGTCTGCACGTCGAATGATGCCTTGACGAGTACAGCTTTCGATTTGCGACAAAAGTGCGACGCCCCGTAAATACCAAAGTACGACAAACTGTACTATGTGGACTTGAGCCATCTTGAGAAAGGCGTTTCCGACCAAGCAATTTACGACTGGTTCGTGCAAAAAGGGGCCAAACCTGTTTTAATTACTTCTACGCCCGTGAATGACCAAGTGACATCTAGGGGACGCACTGTATACTTTAACAGTGTTGGCTGTCCGACCGGGCTATTTGGATAGACCGGAGAACCTTTTCGGTAGGTACATTTCGACTCGGAAGAAATTCCGTGTTTTGTGCAGCACAGGCTATGCAAGCTTACTCGGGTAAAGCCGCCCTTATAATGGCCTCAACCTCGTTGATTATCCGACACTTCTAAAGCTAGCGTGATTGGAAGAGACGACCCGCCCCCAACATCCCATGAGTTAAAACACGGTTGATATAAACCTTGATGATCCATTTGCTTATGCTATGATCAAAGGTCGTGCCTTAGCTTGTACTGAAGCTAAGTGTCAGCGCATAATCGTTGACGCTGTATCGGAAGGGGCACCTGAGTGGAATTTCGTTCAGCACTATCAATACGGGAGCACTAATTGCGACGGCGGCATGTACATCGAGTTAACAGGCCTCGTTGTCTGCGAGTTTTTGTGCGAAGTTTAAGACTTCAATTCGCTGGTGTACTCATCCCACTATCGCCATATTGTTATGACATTCTTCTTTGTGAGGGATTCGATTCGACTCTCCCACCTGATGTTGATTTGAAAGCTGGTGAGCAAGACGCGGGTGACAATGAAATGGTCACTTTAGTATCCGGCTTTACTGCTCCATCCTATTTCCCCGTATGAGAAGGAACTCGTACACTAAAACGCGTCCGTACCCTCGCTATTAAAGTATAACAAGTTTTGGTAGAAGGATTTGAAGATGTCATCGACGAGTTTTTCGAGCAAGACGTTCTCAAAATGACATCTCACGAAGGCATCTTGGCAGCCATCCAAGCGCACCCTGCTTATTTTCAGCATATTCTTCAGCTTCTTTCAATCATCGTGAACAACCGTTTCAAGCACCCGCGGTATATCGAGCAATCAGTGCGGATGCAATGATCTTCAAGCTCCCGAGATCGCTTAAAAGAAAGCTATGGCATAGACTCAGTTGAAGCTGCCACCTTCTTCGAGGCTATTTTTCATATTGTGAACTTCAAGCCGCTGTGGTACACAGTGCCATCAGTGACTTGTTCCTGATGGTGTCTGCGCCAATATATATATATATCGATTTTTAAAAAAAACCAAGCTCTTTTTGGATTATTGCTGCCCCTAAACGCCTTCGTCACTCCCCGTTTCTGCTTGGGAATGATTTCAAATTTCTCTGTTTGGCTTGAATTGATGCGGCGAAGATCTTTATGAACGTCAATCGTATGCTTCAGTTCGTGGTTGCGGTACTTAATGATTTAGTAACTATTTGACTAACCTAAACGAATATGACTAAAGAAATCTTTAGGTTAGTGGGCCCTCACCTCTAGAGAGACTTGGACATTTCATGGAGTCTCGCTGGACGTGAATCGGTTAGATCCAACCAAACTCAACACGTACCAGCGACTTCTCTCGGAACATCACCTGGTCGCGTTCCAAGCGGCAAAGCTTAACACAGAAGACTCACTTCAGACCAGCGAACACTATCTTTGTGTTTGTGACTCAGGAGCGCGCTGCTTTTGGTTCAAAACCATGTCTCCTGTCTTTAAGGGATACAAAGGAATACACAAGCTTAACACATCAAAACTGACTTAGTTACTTTATAGCAGTTCATCAATTAAAAATCCATCTCACTACGATCAAATATATCAGTGGTTTAGGTGGCGTAATGAGGAACACATATCAGTGGGACTTCGACCACAAGCGAAGTTTATACCGACAAGAGACGCGCGCCACGGTGATGTCCCACATGGCTCCTACGAGATCTGGATTTCATCACATACCTTACTCCGTCGGCAGAGCAACTGGTTGCATGTTTTCAGAATACTGACTGCGCTAACCCAGGGTGTTCTTTGGATGAACACAAACGTTCCAATTGCATTTATCTTCGGTGTCGGTGGGTTTGGACAAGCGGATGCGCGTGAGAAGGCTTCAAGAGTCGCCGCAGTATATGACGCCATCGACGTCTCCAATCTGAATCCGATAGATTGCAACAAGTTAGCATTTCAACAAGCACAAGCTGGTTTCAGTGCATACCAGAAAACGATACAAGAAAGGAGTGCAATGAGCAAGTTTGCAGACGAGTTACATCTCAGTGAGCGGGCACAAAAAACACGTTTTCGGCAACCAAAACAGGATTGTCTCAGGTCTTACATCCCCAAAAGTCACTGTGGCGATGAGTCGAGGACTGACGACCCTGATGAAATCGAGGAGGGGCACCACAAATTTTGGGGGCAACTATTTCAATCAGCATCATCGGATCTTCATCATATACGGGATGCTTCATATTAGCCTCTTCACTAAGTGCGCCAAACAATGGCTAAACTCACGCCAGCTCAACAGCGTCTGCTCGATGCACTCATCACGGCAAACAGCTTGTACTGGCGGTCATTAAATCCACCAATGGAAAAGCGCCAGATCCCGACGGATGACCGATGGAGTATTATACTATTACGCCAAATCTGCGATATGCATATACGAGGTTATACACGACAATCAGTTATCAAAAGGAAAGATGACTAAGTTTTAACCTCTCGCTGCTATACAAGAGATCGCAGCCTGGGAAGTACCGTCCATTGATGCTGCTGAACCATGATGCTAAGCTTGGTCCCAAGATTCCTGCGTGAAGGTTGGGACTTGTGCTTCCTTCGCTGATACGTGAAGATCAAAGCGGGTGTGTACCTGACAGATGTATCCGTCAATCACTTGTTTGCTTCCACGACTTGCAAAGATTTTGCAAGAACACTTAGTTCGACGCTTGCGATATCTTGTCGATTTTGCCAAGGCTTTCGAAAATGTACTATGACATACGTTGGGCATGGTACTGCATCACTTCGGATTTGGTACGACCTTTCTTGCCTGAATAAAAACATTCTACAACCAGACTTCCGTTAGTTTGCTGTTAAACAATTCACCAGGAGACCCTTCTTTACTTGGGGCCGGGGTACGACAAGGCGACCCACTATCTTCGGACCTTTTCGTGATGTATATTAAACCCCAAAGAATACGTATGTGCTCAAGTTTTGGTGTGAAGATTGGAAATTGACAATGGGTCATCTTCACATTTGCTGCTAGCGTTTGCGGATGACTGCACCTGTCTAGTAGTAGATGTTGATTACGCAACTTGGTAAAATAATACGCGTTAGCATCATGACTACAATTTAACATAAAGAAAACTTTCATCATGCCGTTTACGCACCAAGTTGACTTGTCCGAATTGGCCAGACTACGTGCTTCAACGGATGTCAAAGTGTTCCAACCGCCGGGCACTGTGGTACTATTAGAAGTACTTCAGGGCGTCACTGTGACACCCAAGCAACGATTTAGAATGTTGTTCGTAAATTGCAAAACAATGCGCCATCTAGAAGTACCGTGCACGTACAATGCCTGGCAAAGTGGTGCTATTTCAAAGCATCATCTTACCACTACGTTGATACACAGCCAGTGTGACGTCTATTACACAAAATATCAGAAAATTGTGGACGTCTTTATCAGCAACTTTGTTCATTCCGAGGATATGGATAGTGACTCCGCAGTTGCCGGAAATTTCGCAAAAAACTGGATTTGCACATGTATTTTGAATAGTAGGCTAGGATTGAAACCTGTCAAAGCATTTATCCAGGCTATGCACCTCAAGACGTTTAAAGATGGAAATGCCTCGACTTGTGAATTGAACGCTGTACCCCGGTGGTTTTCTTCGGCACTTCAACACTTTACAAGAACTTCGGGCTCCCTTGGTACAGACTCCGATGACGCAGACATGAAGGGAAAAAATAAAATGGACTGTCTGGCTATTGGAAATGTACTTTACGTACTTGGGCGGGACTGCACACAATTCACGGCTGCACAGACTGGAATCGTATTGTGCAAGTGATGATGTTATGGTACAATGCTACCTTACGTTTGGCAAGGCTAAAACCCCTTTGGTTTTAGTCAGTAAAATCACTATTGGCTTTCTGAAGGCATTAGATTTCAAACGCCTACAAGACTTTGTTAAGCGCTTTGGATGCTTCACGATACAAGATCTACTAGACAGTCTACTTCACGTGGATCAATTCGCTCGACCTGCGGCAAAAACACGTGTGTGTCCGGCTCAATTCCGCGACTTAACTTAATCTGTCCCCCATATGGACCTAGATAGGGGCCAACTCGTTCCGTTCACATTCAATGGGCAAATTACGGTTGGAGTTTTGAAGACAAAATGACCATAGATATGTCCGACCGTGACATTGTTAATGAACTATTGAAGTCTAAGCTAGTCACACCGCTTCCGCAACTACAAGTTATCAAGCTTCAGATAGCGAGCTTAACTCTAACGGAATATACATGGCGTTTAGATTGTCATGTCTTTCCCTATGCTCATATCTTGATTTTAGTCCTCAACATAACGCATTAGGATTCCATATCAAGTTTTGATGGAAAGTGGAGGTTGTATCAAGCAATACATGTATACATGGATGCACAAAAGTTGCCAATGCTCAATATCTTTTTGTGCTTGCAGAGTAGCATTACATCAATGGAGACTTTCTCCGACCTTTCAACAAGTTTATTATTGGAAGTTTCGACTGGTCTATGATTGTTTCCCCCCACTCCAGTCAACGTTACCATACGACAATATAACACCTTGGAATTTATGCGGTTATGTAACCCGTACTTTTGTGCGCAGTTGTGTACTTCGCGCTTTACAGCTTCATCGAAATAAACGACTCTACAACATTGATGTGTCGACTTCCCAAGACTTTGTACGTCATCATGCCTTCACACAAATCAAACGACACTTTCGGCAGTTTCGATTACGTGCACCTTTAAAAGGCACACTTAAATGGATAAAGTTGACAAATGAAGTATAAAATAGTCTTCACGCGCAACAAATGCATTTTTGACATCGATTACAACCGTCCCGCAAATTGTTATAGCAACAATGCACAACTTCACGACGCCACATGCAACTACAACTAATTCTGGAGCATCTACAATACATTATACAGTCAACAGTGATGTCAAAGTCAAAATTAACGGCTACGGAAATTGAACCCGTCGCATCAGTTTCCTGGGTGGACATCTAGTCCAGCTGCTAGAAAGGTCAGGCTGGGTCTGACGGGGGGATGACAATAAAACAAGGACGAGCAAGCTCGGTCTCAAGTTATTTACGGGTTCCATGGGTCGCCCCCCCGTATTCACCGACCGCGCTTCTGGTCGGCTTTCAACAGAGGTTATCCACATTGTAAAACAATTCGACTCTGCGCTGACTCTCTCCACGTATAGCTACAGCTTCGAGCAGCCCACTCTAATAGGCTGCACCGGTCAAAGGCGTCATGATTGACAAGGCAATACATGCAGCATATGTCTGCAGTCAAGAAGTCTTGTACAACTTATCATCATACGCGTCAAACACAAGATGCAACTAAGGGTGAGATCATTAGTCATTTTTTGATTATGACACGTAAATTTTGCGAGCTATCCGATGGTGATGTTCAAACTTCCCGCTCTAGACGTTCTCAGGTGCCCTTCACCGAAGCTTTTTGCTACATTCTCCACGTCTCGAAGCGATAATGACGGCTATGCCACACAGCTGATTTAGCCTACCACGCCCCGATGTGCTTAGTCTCTGCAAGTCGAACGTTAAGGCAAGATGATCAAAATTTCAACACTAAGTCTCT